ATAATGCATGATGATAATGATGCTGGTGATGATAAGGAATGATAATAATATGGTGATGGTGATCCATGAGGATGATGATGATGCCTAATGATGATGATTGATGATGATGCACATGATAATGATGTTCATAATAATGCATGATGATAATGGTGATCATGGTGATGCATGATTTTGATGATGATGAAGATGACTGATGAGCACTTTTTCCGTGACATTGACTTCCATGTTGTGGCGAGAATATGAATGCTGTTATAGCGACCCTCATATCCCTTGCATTGTTAACGATAAATTGGATTTTTTTACTACGTATAGCTGACACTCTCCATCAAATTTATCCCGAACTGACGAAAAGAATGGACGACAGCAGCGATGAAATCCGTATCATGGTCACCAAGACATTCCTTGCATTCTTTAGGTATGAAGAACGCTCATGGGAATGCGGGAGACCTCAAGGAAAGCGAAATGATAGTATAAGGAGGACAAAGCAGGATTTTTTTAATACTTAGAGTTCATATATGCTGTGCTTCTAATAACATTCTGAAATACGTTTTGAGTTGCCACGACTAATTAGCACAATCCATCAAGGCAATTATGGATGTAAACTTGCACACACAAAGTAACCAGCATCACAGAGCGCGCGTTCATATTTAATTTTTATATCTACGAATGTACGTTTTTTTGCGTCATCAGAGCCTTTCCTGCTGACTATGATCGAGATCTTTACAAGTTCCACTTGCAGTCCATGTTTAAGGGCTTATTAATACATCTAGACGATCCTACCGCTAGTATTCAAGTAAGTTTTTCAGTGAATATCACACAATTGCACTTCCTTGCATTTTCCCCATCCACCCATCCATCTGTCTGTCCATCCATCTATCCCACCAACTATCCATCTGTGCGTGCGTCTGTCCGTCCATCTATTTGTCCTTCCAACTGTCTATCTATTTGTCCTTCCAACTGTCCATCTATTTGTCCTTCCAACTGCTTGCCCACCCCGCATCTCCAGAAGGCTTTTTTTGACATAATGATGTTTTCTTATCTTCCAGGAAAGTGTTCTTGCTGCACTACTTGAGGCAGTTCATATTGCACCGAATATTTTACAAGAGCAAGTTGAAGCTGTAAAACACAAGCACAGAGTGGCAAGGTTCACGTCGTTTTATTTATGAAATTTAGATATATCTTCTCGCTTGCAGTATCAATTACCTACTATAGCCATAGCCTGAAGTATCTGATAAATCCCAGATGTGTGCTTGTTCATATACTCAGAAACCCAGCAACAGTATCTTGAAATAATGTATTTTAGTTACATCGTCTTTTTTCTTTCTCCCGTTCCCTTTTTTATTCCTCCTGTTGATGAGTCCAATAATATATATTCTTTTATTTATATCTTGTTTAGGTTTTGTAATGAAATTCTAAAGGAAATCCAGTCCCACACAGCCATGGAGCATTAAGATAACCATTACATGTTTTACCATATGTAGCAATGAGAATGTCTTGCAATTTTTTTTAATTTAATGTAAAATACTTAAGAGTGACAATAATAATGGAGGTTCTTATCTATATGTTGAAATATATTTGTTTGCAACATATAATATATTGTGACATATATTGTGACAGGGGCATTGTGACTCTTAGGGGCACTTTGATAGGTTGGGCCTGTGAAATGTAGGGGCACTTTGTCATGTTGGACCTGTGACATGTAGGGGTACTTTGTCATGTTGGACCTGTGACATGTAGGGGTACTTTGTCATGTT